CAGTAACAACAAACTTCTTAATTAATTGTTGATCAGTGATGATGATGATGATGGATATGACAACCCAGTACCACAGTAGACACTTACTAAATGCTTGTTGATCAGTGATGATGATGATTATAAGTATCTGTACCTGGCAGCTATGAGGCAGTTAATAAGTTCTGTTTGATTTGTGTTGATGAGCACAGTACCTGGCACACAGCCAGTGCTTAATAAATGCTTGTTGATTGATGGTGGTGATATCAATCAACTGATATTAATTAATCAATAAACAATAAACAATGATCAATGCACATTTATTTAAGCACTTAGCATGTGCTGATAATGTGGATTTCAAATGAGGAACTGGATTTCAAGGAAGAAAAATTCACAATTCATAGATTTCCGAAGTACTTTATGGAATTTAAGTAATCTTGCCACTTTTAAAGAGAAAAGCTAGGGTATTGGAGCAAAACTAGACATCTTTTTTTTCTTAATCAGAAAGGAAAGAAGTATACAGCGTTCCATGCTCCAAGTGTGTCTGTCTGGAGGTCCAGTGTTACTGTTGGCATAAAGTTTCTCTCAAGCAGTTGCATTTTTGATCAACATTTGTTGTGTTACCAAAGATTAGTCACTGAGCCAATAACAAGCTATCCTTGACATGTCGAGTTTTTATTACCGTCTTTGGCTTCTGAACATCTAATATGAAGTGATCTATAACTGAGGAGACTGAATGTCAGCTCAGTAAAGTGACGTGCTTTGTGAGGAGGAAGGCAGACTGCTTCGATGTCAGCCGGAGAGGATTACAACAGATATCACCGGTCTTGATGGCACTAACCCAATCTGAAAAGCTGTAGACAAATCTGAATTTATGCTTTATCATCAGGCTGCCAGATGGGTTCAGGCAGCTATATGTAAAAATTCATGGTCTGTTACTCAGTAATTGATGTTTGGGAGGAAGCTATCATATGGGGGTTTACTGTGTTCGTCTCTGAATGTTAGGTGAGCATCTTTAGCTTGTAAAAGGTTTTGTATTGTTATGTTTAGCTATCATGACTTTTACAACTATGCGACAATGGACAGACAATTACCTGGAGAAGAATAAGAACAATATGAAGATGTTACTTTTGCTTCACACGTAATTACTGAAAATCATAATTATGTATATAAATATATAGCAAGAGATACAGATGATTACAGGCTCCATTTTGTATATTTACAGCCCTCCAGATAATAACCAAAATCAGCATTTTAGCATTTTACCCAATTTCTTGGTAGAACATCCTTTCTGTAGAATGGAAAGGCTTCAAGTACAGGAGTAATAATGGACTCTATCCCCTTGAGGATCACCCCTTGCTGAGTTAGCAGTGCTTTAGAACCCATTTCACTCCCAAGAAGCAAAAGGTACTACAGCTATGACTAGCTGTCATAGAAAGAAAGAATTCAATTCTGTTCAACAAACATTTATTACTATATGTTAGGTTGGACAAGTGGGAGTTGGGTCTAGGATTAATCGGGATGGGGAAGACTGCCTTCAGGAAATTGTATGGCCCCTCTAATGACCCCAAACTCCCCGCAGAAGCAAATCCCCCCCTCTTATTATTTTTTAAAAATAAAATGTTATTGATATGTTTTGGTTTTATGGAATCTACATTTCATAAAATCTCCTTCCTTCCTCTCTGAGTGTCAGAGAGCTATCTCTCATAGCAAAGAATAAAAGAGAGGGTTCTTTAAATAAAGGAATAGAAATAATAAACCAATTAAGAAGCGATAAACAATAAAACAATAAAGAAACAACAAAAGAAATGGGTTCTTCAAAACTAATTGACATAATGAAAAAGTCTGCCATTATATGTGGTGTTCCATAATCGTAAATACCTCACCCTATCTTACCTCCACCAAGAAGCAGGAAGGGAGGAGGTGAAAAGCCCATTTTTTTAATACCAGCATTGTGCTGGGATTGTTGTTTAACTATGAACCATGGAAGAAGGGAAATCTGAAGTCTCTGAAGAATTATAAAAGTATCCTGCAAAAGGCAGTGGAGAGGCAGATTTTTGGATACGAGTAGGCTTTAACACTTAACATAAGAACTTCTAAGATGAATAACAGTAATGTATGAGTGATAAAGAAAACATACTTCTCCTAGGGCCAAAGCTAGGTAACAGGATGATAGCTAGGGTCTTCCCTGGCATTCTTAAAGTTCCAGGAGAAATGGAAGAAGGTGTCTTAGCACATTGGTTGGAACCCCAGTAGTGAGCTTACAGAAGGGAATGGACAGAAGTTACTCATGGTGTAGGTAGGGGTCAGGATGTGATCTGAAGAGGCAGTGGGAACTTCTACCTAAATGAGGTCCCAGATCCATTTGCATAGATGCAAATTGCCCTGCCAGATACTGGGGGCACAAAGATAAAAATGCAATATAGCCACACCCCAAGCCACGCCTATTCCACTTTATAAGGAGTTTCATTTAATATCCCTGCTTTGGTTTATGAGGAGTTTCTTTGAATTTATTAGGACTGATTTGCATTTGGTAGCCTCAATAACAGCTGAACCCCCGATTGAGAGCCAACCGACAATCTTCACCATTGTCTACTTGGCTCCTGTTGTGTTAAGTTCTCCTTTCATTATCCAATGGTTCTATATCAGAAGCAGATGTGGTTTTATTGACACTAAAGAAGATGAGGTCTATCACCAAGCAGGCTGTCTGTAGGGTGATGAGTTTTTGGTAACAGCAGCTCAACAAGGGCCATCTATCTACTAAAGTGTGGTTGGACTTGTGATCTTTCTCAGTGGAGGGAGTGACTGGGCTGGTAAAATCACAGATCTTTGAGGAATTGGTTGACTTCTTTTTTCTAGCATGACTCTTTAAACTAATTTCAGATTATTGGGAGTTTCACCAGGGAGGCTTTGTAATGTTTCTGCCATTCTTTGCAATTAGCACAGTCTCTTTGGCAAACAGGAGCATTTGGAAAACCTCAACATGAATAGAGAATCCATTATCCATCTCTTTGGACTTTGTAGGGGACATCCCGTGTAGAAAAATGATTTCCCCTTCTCTTCCTGTGGAATTTCTGAACTTAGAGTCATAGGATCTGGTTTAGAACCCTGGCTCTGCTTCCGATGTGATTCCGTGACTTGGTTGCCTCATCTGTAATAGGGCAATGGAGAGAATAAGGTAGGCGGAGAAGATGGACCAGATGACTTTTGGTTTTCGATTTAAGATCCTCATGAGAGCAGCCAGAGTTAATGCTATTTTATTTCCTGTACATTCCCCCAGCACTTAGCACAGTGCCTGGTACATGGTAGGCACTTAATAAATGCTTGTTGACTTGACAGTCACATGCCAGGATCTCTTACAAAATGTCTCGTTCTTCTGTTATCTTTTTCAGTAGAGACTGAGAGTTTGATGGAAGTGGGTTCTGCTGACATTAGGTAGAGAATCCAACTTGCATTGGTTTAGAAGTAGATTTGCCTTACCTATAGCACAGAATCTCGGGGCAAGATTATAATTTAAAAATTATCTGCCCCCATGCTTTGTAGGCCTATCATCTTAATCTGCTTTAAAATTAACTTTTGAAAAAATTGTCTTTCTAAATTACATTGATTGTCTTAGAGTCACCTTTGACTCTGCCATAGTTCTTGGCTTGTATGGCTAATAAAAATCAATTTTGGTAGGGTTCTTGGAAATAAGCTCTCTCTCTTCAGTTCTTGGATTTTTTCTGTTTGTACTGTAGTTCATCATTTTATAGACTAAGACACAGTATATAATAATAGAACATTGGTAATAGTGGGGCCTGGCTGGCCATAATCGGCCAGGATTGAGACTCTGGCTACTTAGTATCTATTCTAGACATGAACCAACTGTGGGCTGGTAAAGAATTGAATACCAGAGAAAAAGACAGAGTTGAAATGCTCACATATGATAAATTAGGCAGCTGGATAAATTAGCTAAGGTAGAGTGGAACAAGCGGGCAAGGTTTAGCCTCTGGGAGAGTCTGCAAGAAGTCTTTACCTGTGACCCTGAATGTGAGCTCTGATCTTAAAACAGAAGTTGTTTGTTTTCTGCTCCCAATTTTTTTTTCTTCTATGATTAATATTTTATTTTTCCAGTTACATGTAAAAACAATTTTTAACGTTCATTTTAAAAAAATTGAGTTCAAGATTCTCTACTTCTTCTTCCCCCTGAGGCAGTAAGTAATTTGATATAGATTATACATGAGCGTTCATGCAAAACATATTTCCATATTAATCATATTGTGAAAGAAAACACAGACCAAAGAAACTCCACCAAAATAAAGTGAAAAATAGTATGTTTTGATCTGCATTCAGACTCCATCAGTTCTTTCTCTGGAGGTGGATAGCATTTTTCATTGCAAGTCCCTTGGAATTGTCTTGGATCATTGTATTTCTGAGAATAGCTAAGTCATTCACAGTTGATCATCATACAGTATTGCTATTACTGTGTACAATGTTCTCCTGGTTCTGCTGTCTTCACTTTGCATCAGTTCGTATAAGTCTTTGCAAGTTTTTCTGAAATCATCCTGCTCATCATTTCTTATTAGCACGATATTATTCCATTACAATCATATACCACAACTTGTTCAGCCATTCCCCAGTTGATGGGCATCCCACAAATTCCAATTCTTTGCCACCACAAAAACTGCTATATTTTTGTCCAAATGGTTTTTTTCCCCTTTTCTTTGGTCTCTTTGGGATAGAGACCTAGCAGTGGTATTACTGAGTCAAAGGGTATACACAGTTTTATTGCCCTTTGGGCATAGATCCAAATTGCTCTCCAGAATAATTACATCAGTTCAAAATTCCACCAATAGTTCTACCTCTAATTTAGGCATCTCCTGAAAATCCCTTGGTCTACAGGTGTGGGGTTGTGCCGGTGATCCTTGCCTCTCTTTTGTGTAGGATTGGAAGCACTGGAATGGCCAGCACATTTTACAGTGTGATAGATACTGATTCCATGCTCTTAGCCATCCTATCCTATTCTCTTCTCTCCTTCACTGCAGAAAGGTTTTGAAGGAAATATCTGTTGGAGACCTGAAGCCCAATGAAACAGTTCAGGCAAACTTGGAAGCACAGCTCCTCTCTAAACTTGACCACCCAGCCATCGTCAAGTTTCATGCCAGCTTTGTGGAACGAGATAATTTCTGCATCATCACCGAGTACTGTGAGGTAAGGCTTTGAGCTAATTCTGCAGTCTGATGAGGGCATTTCTTCTCTGTTGGAAACCAGACTGGAATCACCCTGCTGGAGAAAGCTCCTGAAACAAAGCCATCTTGAAAACATGAATGTCAAACTCTGGGGTGGATTTGAATACTTGGGGTCTCTTGTTCTGCAGCTTAGAGAAGTCACCTCTAGGAAGCTAACGAGTTCCAAAGGAGGGTTCTTTTCATCTTTTTGTTCCCTAAAACCACATACTATTTGGAGAGAATCATTGCAGCTGAATGTTAGGAGAATGCCTTAGGAAAGTAATTTGTGGGTTTTTTTTTTTAAACCCAAACAATTCCCACAGTAATTTCATGTGAATTTGAATTCAGTGATATGGAATAATGAGCATATAGCACTTGTGGTGCCCTCTTCTCACATATAGGGCTCCCAGAATAACTACTGTGGGATCAAGATGCTTTTAAAATTAAAAAAAAAATTAATGTTAATGGACCTCTAATGATATTTACTTTTCCCCTAGCCAGCCAGAGGACTCAGATAGTTCAAACCCTAACCCATGAGTAGCTAGTAGGATTTGCTCCCCACCTCCTTCTGCTCCCCGTTAACCTAAGGGACACTCTCACACAAATGTGAACTTGCACAGGGATCGTGTGTGAAGGGCCCACACGTGGGAAATGTGTGGAGACCCACCTCCTATCTCTGATTATGCAGAGCTCCTAAGGTCTTCTGGTGATTCCTAACGCTGCTCTTCTTAGATTGAGGTATCTCAGCTGCCTTGCTCTTCTGGGTTCACTGGGCGTGGTGTCTCCGCTCATCACAACTCATCACATTACTCTGATGGTTCATTGAACCTGCTTTAATGCAGCGTCTCTTCTGAGCCTTCCTCTTGCCACCGTCTTCTGGGCAAGCCATCTCAGTTTCAGTCAGCTAGGGTATTACGGCTAAAACTTTTCCTTAGTAAAGTCAGGCCAGCAAGCAAGGAGTCCCAGCCACCGCTGTCAGTCGACAAAGAGCAGATAGAGTAACCTCAGGAGAAGATTAGATATTTTCTTTTCTAACTCTATGGGAGCTCAAAACCCGCTGTTAAAGAGAACTATTTAACTGAGCTCTCCACACTCTTTTTATACTCTCACTATCCCCGATGGCTTGGTTGCAAAGGATGCATGCTAAGTGTTCTCCATCCATTTAGCCTAAATTCTGATCTTTATTATGCATATCTGTCAGTTTGATGCAAAATATAGCTTTTGTACTATATTTTGCCCAGCAAAAACCTTAGTTTTCCTTCAGATAAGTTACCCATTTTCATCCTACAGGAACATTGCTCATTTAACACCTCTGTGCCTTCTTTTATCTATCTATGAAGTGGAAATGCCCATGCCTTCCATACTGAATATTTGATAATGGTTTTCAAACATTTGTTAACTGAGCCTAAAAATTCTCTCCCCAAGCAATGAATCATTATTGGTTTCATGGTCCTTTTAGGGTCTACTGGGGCAGGAAGAGTGAAGACGATGTCCAATGTGGAGGGGGCTTGGTGTGAAAGTGGTCAGGAATTAGCATGTAGGTCTGGTTCCAGAGTATTGTTTTTTTTTTTTTTAAGAAAAAAAAGAAAAAAATAGGGGTTCATTTCTTTATTTTAAACACAAACAATTCCTAAAATATTGTCAAGTGAGTTTGGGTTTAGTGCTATAGGCTATTGGGTGTATAATACCTCTGGTTCCATAGCCAGTTAACATAATAATTCACAGGCATTCAGTGGTATTAACTCACTGGGTGAATTTTGCCCTTAGTGCCAATTCCATGTGTTTTTTCACCCTGGCAGACTAGGGAACAGGACAGGAGAAGGGAAAGGCTGCAAAGGGACTAGATTTGGGCAAAAGGAATCTGTTAGATCATCCTAGTTCAAAAATATTACCTCCATACATTCCACTAACATAGATTTATTTGGGTTACAAGGTGCTGGATCATTTAAAATGCAGATCTCCCCCTTTCCTCCCCTCCATTAAACCTCATTCATGCTTTATGGAGAAATTACTTTAATTAAATAAAAACTTATCTGAGTTCCAGTTTTCAGTTTGCCTGGGGCCTGGCTTTCACCAATGCCTGATTTGATGCAGAGACTAGTTTGAAAGGCTGAAAATATGAGATTCTTCTAGTTCAGGCCTGTCCTCCTAGCCTCAAGGTAATCCGTTTAGGGTCATCAGTTCTGCCCAGGGTCTTCCTCATCTAATTACTATCCCTCTTCTCTTTGGAAGAGGGAAAAGAAATAAAACCAAGAAGAAGAGGGGGAAAAAAAGAGAAAGCCTGGCTATGTGAACTCCTTCCTCCTCTCCTTTCCTTTTCTCTTCCTGTCTTTTCAGAGTTCTGAGGGTTTTCTCTTCGTAGAAAGTTTAGAATACTTCCTTAGGAATACGGAGGGGCCACTGTAAAAATGTCTGTTTCTTCCTCCAAGGGAAATCATGAAGGTCAGCTGATTAATCAGTCAGTCAATCAATAGTATTTATCGAGTGCCTGCTCTGGGGATATAAATACAAAGGATGAGACAGTTATTACTCACGAGGAATCTACCTTCTGACTGAAGATTTTAACTTTTCTTTGTGTCATGGACCCCTCTGGCAGTCAGGGAAGCCTGTGGACTCCTCAGAATTATGTTCTTAAATTCACAAAATAAAACACATAGGATTACCAAGGAAGCCAGTTATATTGAAGTACGGTTATAAAAGTATTTTAAAAAACAAGTTCACAGACCCTAGGGTAAAACCCCCTGTTTTAATGGGGGTTTTAATGTTTTAAGTGATGGAGTTACATGTGTTGAAAGCATATTGAGCTTTGAGTAGTTATGTTAAATCCAGAGTCATAGTCATGTTTCTGCTATTATTAGTTTTGAATGCTTACTTATATCAGTAGTAATCAATAAATTGAATGCTTATTAGTACCACTAGTTATAATAACTAACCACATGGCCCACGGTATGTGAACAGTACTTTTGCCTCTTCGTTAACCTGTCTCCCCAACCCAAGGGTAAAGGGTGACATCAGTCACACATGGAAAGTTACTAAAGAAACCCAGGGAACTCTGGGACTCCTGGCGTGGAAACCAGACGATCATGGCAGCCTCAGCTGGCTCCATTTGGCCTCTGTCCTGTTCATATCTAGGCCTTCTGCCTGAGGCTGAGACTCTTGTGACCAAGTACGCTCTTCGGGAAATACCAGTTCTTCCTGTATCCAAACTACGGGAAAATCAAAGCTCTGCTGGTCTCCTCTCGTTAAAAGCAAAGGCAATCTTTAACGCCATTGTACCGGTTTATAATCAGGCCCATATCAGACATCTCATTGTGTGACCTTGGGCAAGTCACCTACTCCTCTGTGCCTCAGTTCAGTCACCTGTAAAATGAAGAGGTTGAACCTGATGGACTGCAAGTTCCCTCCGAGCTCTGGATCTGTGATCCTATGATTATATAAGATTTGCACAGGTTCTGTGCCTCAGTTTCCTCATCTGTAAACTGGGGTTGGGCTCGGTAGCTTCTAAGGTCCCTGCTAGCTCTAAATCTGTGATCCCAAGATCTTGTGACCTGCCAAAGCTTGCATTCCACGGTCTCAGTCTTTGAGCTGTGTTTGGGGTCACCTCTCTACCAGAAGGAGGTCTCAGAGCGGGACTTCAGAGGTATGAATACAATATAACTCTCAAGGGCTGCTGTTCCTTATGAGTTTCTCATTTTTCTTTTCCTTCCTTTCTTTCTTTCTTTTTTCTTTCCTTCCTTCCTTCTTTGTTTCTTTCTCCCTTTCTTCCTTTCTTCTCACTGTGCTAGACTATGGATACATTATTATCATTATTATTATTAATTACTACTACTGTTAGATATAGTCCCTACCCTCAAGGCGCTTACGTTTATATTTGTAGACAAGTATAAAATGTGCCAGACACACAAGGTAGCATATTAAAAACTGAGAAAGAAGAGATCACTTTCATATGGTCAGGGAAACCTTTAGAGAAGAGAAAATGGGTGAAGTAAAAGATTTCGTGAGGAAAGATGGTAGAAAGAGCATTTGACTTGAAATTAAAAGAATTGGGTCTGAATCCTTACTCTGTGATTTACTAGGCATGTCATCTTGACCAAGTCACTTAATTTCCTTTTTTCCCACTTAATAATATTTTATTTTTTCCAATTACACGTAAATACAGTTTTCAACATTTTGAGTTCCAAATGTTTTTCTCCCTCCTTCACCTCCCCTTCCCTAAGACAGCAAGCAATCTGATATAGGCTATACATGTACAATCATGTTAAACATATTTTCGCATTAGTCATGTTGTGAAAGAAGAATCAGAACAAAAGGGAAAAACCATGAGAAAGAAAAAGAGAAAATAGTATGCTTTGATCTGCATTCAGACTCCATAGTTCTTTCTCTGAATGTGGATAGCATTTTCCATCATGAGTCTTTTGGTTTTGTCTTAGATCATTGTATTGCTGAGAAGAGCTAAGTCCATCATAGCTGATCATTGCATAATGTGGCTGTTACTGTGTACAATGTTCTCCTGGTCCTGCTCACTTCACTCAGCATTAGTTCATGTTAAGTCTTTCCAGGTTTTTCTGAAATCTGTCTGCTCATCATTTCTTATAGAACAATAGTAATTCTGTTACATTCACATACTGCAACTTGTTCAGCCATTCCCCAATTGATGGACATCCCCTCAATTTCAATATTTTTGTACATGTGGGTCCTTTTCCCTTTTTTGTGATCTGTTTGGGATATAGCCCTAGTAGTGGTATTGACGGATCAAAGGGTATGCACAGTCTTATAGCCCTTTGGGCATAGTTCTAAATTGCTCTCTAGAATGGTTAGATCAATTCACAACTCTACCAACAATGCATTAGTGTCCCAATTTTCCCATATCTTCTCCAGCATTTATCATTTTCCTTTTCTGTCATATTAGCCAATCTGATGGGTGGGCATTTCTCTTTCTTTAACATCTCTAATTTGCCATCTGTTTCTGAGACAAATGATGAC